TCCTTTTCTTAGCTTGCTATTCACTTTTTATTACTTCACATAGAGCGGCCCGGCAGGAACTACTTGGCAGGAAATGTGGACAATAACCGGTTGGTCTGAGCATACTGCGGTTTTTATTTTAAGCTTATCAAAACCTAAAACCGACTGATCAATTGCTGGTTCAAAGATATGCAGAAGAAAGAACCTTCACAGGATTATCCTTCTGTTCGGTCCCAGCTGAACTTGAACTGCTTACATGTGGGGAGTTAACGCAAACCTGCGAACGCAATAATGGCTCGTAGCCGAACGACGCATGGACAACAGAACAGAACCAGCTGGTAGCACGCAAACGTGTATTCTGGCCAGGACGTATACAGAGCATCAATCAAGTAACTGAGGCCTGGCCACTGGTGGGTGGGTAATCGATAGTCAGTCACACGCACATGTTCGATGCTGGTGTGAAAACGAATTGAAGCCGGTGACTCATAAGCCACATTCCTCCTCCCTTTAATTGTCACCCATCCAAACAGCCTGGTAAGGATCAACTGCATGTCAGACTCTAGTGGACGGCGTATTGGTTGAGTTTCTGGCTTTTTGTGGTCTGTGCGATCTCCGCAACTACTGCCTCGGTTGACGGGCTTGGCAATATGTCGTCTGGTCCGGATGAAACAGAACGACGGCGGACGTGCTCCAAATGACGGATAACCATCCTGTCGTCCGGTATTGCTTCCCCCGCTATCTGCACTTCAATTTTACCTAACTCCGAAAGTAACCAGGTGGGTTCTTGGGATACTTTCACATCAACTGGCACGTCCTCACGGAGTTTGTTGATCTCATAACATTCGATCGTACCTGTCCTTTGATTTCTCTTGTGACACCTCGGCGCCCAGTCTCTGTTCCGAAAAGAGTAGGTTTAGCCGCGTCCTAAGCATTCGGCCGAACATAAATTTGCCTTGACTCTTGCCTTTCGTTTTACTTGGGGTGAAGCGGTACGCGACTAGAAATTTATCCAACTTCGTTCGGAGTGGAGCGCGTACTTGTTTCTGCAATCCGTTTTTTACTGTCTGAACTGCTCTTTCCGCTAGTCTGTTTGAGGTTGGGTGGTAAGGGGCAGTCTTCACGTGTCTGATGCCGTTATTTTGAAGGAACTCTTGGTAGTGTTGGCTAATGAATATAGAACCGTTGTCTGTCACTAGTGTTTGCGGAATACCGAATGTGCTAAAACATGTTCGCATGCAGGAAACAGTTGTCTCGGAAGTGGCGTGTATCAGTGGAAATACTTCAATCCATTTGGAATAGGCATCGACTATATGAAGAAACATCGTTTTATCAAACGGACCAAAGTAGTCTGCATGTATGTGCCCCCTCATGACTTGTTGAGCCACTTCCATTGACTCAGTGGCACCGGTGGGGCGTTTCTTTGTGTAATTTGACATACTTCACAGTGTCTGATCAATCTTTCTATGTCGCTCTTAATGCCGGATCAACACACATAAGACCGCGCGAGCTCTTTCATTCTGGTGCTATCTGGATATGATCTTCGTACAGTTCCTCGAGTACATAGTCTTAACCGAGGCGGTATACTAGATCTAGACTCCCATAAGAGGCAGTCATCCTCGAGGCTTAGTTCTGTACGTCGGGTTAAGTAAGGCAACAATTCCGCGTCACATTCATCTGACCATCCTTGGAAGACCAAACGTTTAACTTTGCTGAGAAGTACATCATGCTCACACTTGCTTTACTTATTCAGCATCGGCTTCCTAGTCAAGTACTGCATTAAATGGACTTATTCAATTGGTTCCCGTAAACATTCTGGCACTTGCTACAACAGCAACCGTCTCAAGGCATTCGCAATGCCGTTTGCTTTTCCAGGGATATAAGAAATAGTGTAATTGTAAGCCGATAACAATGTTGCATACAGGGAGATGACATCTGGTTGCTACTTTTGTGCTCATCAATCAAGGCTACTAGGGGTTTATGATCAGTAATGATTATGAAACTTCTTCCCCAAAGCTACTGGTGAAATTTCTTAACACCGAATATAACCGCCAGCACCTCTTTATCCAGTTGTGTCTAGCTTTTCTCTGCCGGCGCTAAGTTTCTAGAGCCAAAACCGATGGGTCTCAGTCTGATCATCCATTTTGTGGGACAGTACGGCTCCGAGCCTTGATACTGAGGTGTCACCTCGGAGAGTGATGGTCTTTCTAGGATCAAAATTCACTAGCAGCTTAGCCTTATCCCTGGTTGACTTGGCAGCATCGAAAAATTTTTGTTCTGTAGTTGACCAATGCCATTAAGCGTTTTTTCGTAATTAAGCGTACAATGGTCTGACGCTGATGGCCAAATCAATTAGGAAACGACTATAGTGCGTTACCGTATCAAGAAAGGGTTGAAGCTCACTGACGGTGTTTGGTCTCGGAGGGTCAACAATGGGCTGGATATTTTCTCTTAGCGAGTACAAACCGTGTTTATCCAAATGAAATCCAAGGTACTGGACACCGTAGACGAAAGATACACATTTACTTTCCTTCCGCTTGAGTCTACTGTCTTGGAGAGGTTTCAAGACCGTCGCAAGCCATGTCATGCGTTTATGATCCGTGTTGTCAGAAAATAGAATGTTGTTTAGTTGAGTGCATACCGGATATTCCTTTCACTACATTGTCAATAATCCTCCGAAATATTGTCGGTTTAGAATGTATTCCAAATAGAAGCCCGTTGTAGTGGAATAAACCCGTGTGTGTGTTGATGGTTTTTCTTCCCATGGCGGATTCATGCAGCTCTACTTGGGAGTAAGCGTGGCTTAAATCACCTGACGGAGTTGCGTGTAGGTCATCTATCCGCGGAATATGGTTGTGTTCTGATGTCGACACTTGTTTAACAGTCAGTTTGTAGTCACCACAGATACGGACGGTACCATCAGGTTTTTGTACTGGGATACTTGGCATGGCCCAAGATATGTGGTGTACTGGCGATAATATTCCATCTTTTTGGAGGCGCTTCAGTTTTAACTCATCTTTCGAACGGATTGCAAAAGGTAAGCTCTTTGCTTTGGAAAATTTCAGCTGGGCGTCCGGTCTGATATTGAAAGAGACTTTAAAATCGCGAAGTTTACCGGGCGATGTTTCATCAAACACACAAGCGTACATTCTCAACATTGAAGGTATTTCTAGGATATGGTTCACTTTTTTGACGGTTTGAAGTAGTTCCGGCGTATGTTTGAGCCATATTCTACCAAGTAAGTTCGGGCCATCTATGCTAAAAACAATTAAGAGAAGGGTAAAAGTGTCTGCCCCACGAGTAACCCTTACTTCACACATCCCCAGCACGTCGAGCGGTTCACCAGTATAAGAAGGTAAAACAGACTGTCGGGACCAGCGGCACATCGAACAATGTACGATTGTTGACTAACGTAACGGAGGCCCCCGTATCGATTTCTAGGCGCACAGATTGACCTTCACTCTCCAGTTCCACAGTGTGCGGAGGTATTCTGCGTACATGTGACGTGGCAATATGTGAGATCATCGGAATTCTCTACTGTCCGGACAGTAGTTGGTGGAGGCTAAGCTACACGACATGGTAGCATTGTTGAACGACAAACATGCGCAAGACGTCCGACCTTGCCACACTTGGGCAAGTGCATTGTTTGTGTCTACATTTATTTGCTCTTTCATGTCTTTTGCCACAAATTTAGCACATAAAGAACGTTTGCTGTTTGGTGACAATCGAGGTTTGACCTCATGGATTACATATGATGGGTAATCATGTTGGCAGTGAATTAACTGTTGAACCACACTTTCTCTTTGCTTCACTAATGTGCATGCGGCTTCCCAATTAAGCTTGCTTTCGTCTTCCGACGGTAAACGTTCTCGGACATTGTCGCGAATGCCAACTAGAAGACAGTGGACGGAATCTGATTAAAACTGCAGTCAGGCAAGGATTGTAGTATGCGGGTTATAAACTCGTTAACATCTCCCTATCGTAGTTGGGCAAATTTTAGTCGTGTGGCAAACACATGTTGTTGTAAGCCCAAAAGACCATCCAGAAATTTCAGACAATGTGACAAGAAAGCGTTTTCATGTAACCGTAGGGCATCGAAATGCCTCTGAGCCTCCGCACCCAAGTGTTGTCTCAGCAGTTTAACAGATTGTTGTTCAGTAATAGTGATGTGAGGATTTGTAATTCTGAAGAGTTCAAGGTAGTCACAGAATGTTCTCTTCCACCGAGTCCAAACTGCAAGATATGGCTTGGAAGCCCCTTCTTTCCAAAACGGATCATGTAAAATAAGGTGACTCATAACGATTAATTCCAAATATTGACTCGTTTGCCAATATTAAAGTGTACACTTGTGGAGCTAACGCAAACCTGCGAACGCAATAATGGCTCGTAGCCGAACGACGCATGGATAACAGAACAGAACCAGCTGGTAGCACGCAAACGTGTATTCTGGCCAGAACGTGTACAGTGCATCAATCAAGTAACAGGCCAGGCCACTGGTGGGTGGGTAATCAATAGTCAGTCACACGCACACGTTCGATGCTGGTGTGAAAACGAATTGGAGTTGGTGACTCACGCCACATTAGGTCACGTCTTCTTTATGACAGTTAACTGTACACCGTCGCTGCACGAAGACTGACGAAACCGCGAGGTGTCCAGTCAATGACATGGCATAAGGGCATGGGGAAATCGACTTAAAGATTTAGTCAGGTTTTTGCGTGCCGTGTTTGTGGATGGGGGCCGCAGGATGATCCATACCAGCGGTTGGAGACTATCAGACACGGCATAGTCGTGCAGTCAGTGGCGCTCCCGCATTCGCTTTCCTGTATCTAGTTCATTTTCCTCCCGTCCTGATTTTTTAAATTCCTTCTGCTTCCACTGAACCGCACTTTTCTACTCTCGTTTGCTCATTTGGCCCTTTCTATTGACGTGAGGTAACTGTTTTCTACAATAATGGGTGTACCCTATGTCATGCAGATGTTGCATTCTTTTGATTGTATCACTAGCCACTGCATTGTTCGTGTGTAGCTTTTTACTTTTATTGCCCTCCCGTGGAGCTGTTATGTACGCTTATTTACTCAGCTTCAGTTCACTTAACAATGCGGTGTACTTCCAACTCTCCGGAATATACAGTAATACTCGAACCTGGGTCCTACTTTTTACGAATTGGTAGAGCTGTTGATGCCGTTCCGAAGAAACTCCCTCACTGCATTGCCCGGCGAGTAAAATCTCAACGTCAACACCTTCGAAGGTCAGTGAATAAGGGTTACAGAGCACATCATGGTTCCGTGTCGAAAAACACTGTTGTCAGCTCATTCATCGAGCAACATTTCGGTATCACGCCGCCAAAACCTACGGACGATGCAGTTGTTTCTTGGCGGCCACTCAGTACATTGCCCAGTGCGAATCAGAATTCTTTTTCGTGGGAAGATTGCGGACATGAAGAAAAGGAATTTTTAGTACTGAATGACGCTCTAACAGTTTCTTCTAACGAAGAATATCGTCTCACTTGGCCGTTTAAATGTGGATTTATGCAACAGGATCATAATTACTCGGCTGTACTTCAGGACCTGGAGGATATATGGAGCGGTGCTTGTGAAAAATACGTGAGTTAAAGTCATTTCAAGGGAGAATTGTTCTAGTTCTAGTTCTTGCGCCTTAACAGTTTTCCTCGGGAAAGTGCTTTTAGTATCTTATAGTTTGTAGATTGTTTGCAGTTGCAATGCAAGTGCTGTGCATTTTAAACAGGCGGCACTTCATTGCAGTCTGTCAGCTTCAATTAGCTTGACTTGGTGATTCATCTCTCCACAATCGGCATAGTACACGTTAGTAATTTAGAGGCAATGGAAACCAAGCTGACGGTGATTCTCGTAGACTGCTTGGGCAGTAAAGATTGACAGATACTTAAGGTTACTTGTTCCATGCCACGAACACTATCGAAATCTGTGGCGCCGGCGTGACATCACGCTCGTCCTGAAGAGCAGAGTTTACAATGCAGCCGTTTGTTCAACCTTCCTGTACGGTTGCGAAATCTGACCCATGAAGTTGAAAGATATAAAGATACTTTCGCTCACCGTTGCCTTCGCGGCTTAGCTGATGTCTGGTGGAAGCACCGCGGGAGAAACGAGCGTGTTCATCGTTACGTATTTGGTGCAGTAAAAGCAAGTGTACCGCTCAGCACCATCATACCACGCACCATACTCCGATGGCTGGGCCACGTGTTGCGCATGCCAGCACACCGACTCCCGCATCGTGCATTGTTTGCACGCCTGGTATCTGGATGGAAGAAGAGGATGGGAGGCCAAGCGATGACTTGGTCAGGAGGAAGGAAAACTTTCAATTCGCAGTTTGCGTCGGTTGATGCATCCCGACTGCTTGGCTGGGGGTCGAAGAACGACGAACACGTTTGGTTCGATACACTTGTTGATATGGCAAGGAACTGACCTCAGTGGTGTTGTGAGTTACTTCGTCCCTCCCCATCCCGCTTATAAATAAATAAACTTTTATTCTCGGCTAAGCGAGGCACGACTGCACAGGCACAACTATGGTAAGAGTGCAACAGGTGATCATCATCATCATCAACAACAGTACATCAGTCCTTTGAACTGATGCTTCGCTGCCATACACTCATGAGGACCTATGAAATAAAGAATAAGAAGAGGGAGAGAAGGGGGACTTACATAAAAACCTTAATGCCCTAAGCAAACATTCAGGGTCAAGGCGCCTACACCTTGTGTAGACAACATACCGTCACAAATAGCTGGCTATCGTGCAAACATAACGCGGCATCGGCGAGACAGCTTCCTTGCTGCTTTCATTGCCACGCGTCATAATCGACCATTACCCCGCAGATAATTCAGCACCAAATACACTTTAAACAGGCAATCCGATAAGGAGACGGCAGCAGACGCGCCGCTGGTGTCGGTTGCGAGCCATGTCCTGTAAAGTCTCGAGCCAAGCACAAGGCGAGTCACGTGGACTCCAGTCCGGAAGGCGAGACGGACTAACGGCACCCAGTTTAGTCGTCAGTGACTTCATTTCCCGCTGCGAAGTCAACTTCTGTCCACCTTGAGCCTTGTGCCACCCTACACCTGGTAGACTGAGCAAGGCCCTCCTAGGTAAGCGGTGACCAGGCATACGTAGCACGTGCCTGAGCAAACGCAACTTATTCAGTGCTGTCTGTTGTTCTAGGGAGCTAGCATGATTTTCACTACCCAGTCTCGCCTACGCACATCATCGTTGCGGACACGCTGGTGTCATCCGACACCTCGAGTTCCTCGTTAGCAAGCGTCAAGGGGTCATCAAGTGGCTGGTGGTCCTGCAGCAACACTTTGCACTTTAAAGGTGCGAAGTGTATACCAAATAATGGGACCACTCTGGACAGGATATTCAGGGTTGATTGCGCCGTCGCAACATGGTCGAAAAGCAAGACGATCTCGTCCGCATAACCTAGGTCAACTAACCTTTCACCAGGCAGCACTTCAACGTCCATATCGGAAGATTCCCCAAGGGAACACTCCATGATAGACTCCACGACGAAATTGAACAAAAATGGGGAAATCCAACAACCCTGACGTACGCCACTTGTGGTCGGAAAGCTATTCGACAGGACACCGTAGACCCTGACGCGGTCTGTAGTGTTCGAGTATAGAGCACGAAGGATGTTCACATATTTCGTGAGAATACCTTTCCGCACAAGTATTTCGAACAGAATCGTCGATCGACTGAATCGAACGCACTCTTGAAATCGAGGAATACAGCTATTGGCAGGCTGTGATATTCGTGGCGCTGCTCTAGCACCTTCCGCAAAGTGAATACATGGTCTGTACAGCCACGCCCTGGGTGGAACCCGGCCTGCTCTTCTCATATCCGAGATTCCCGTCCCACAGTGAGGCGATGAACGATAATGGAGGCCAGTAATTTTGTCACAACTGGCGTTAGGCTAATACCCCTGTGGTTAAAACAGTCGGTGCGACTGCCCTTCTTGCATAGTGTCACTATAATTGATTCGCTCCAATCAGCTGGAACACACTTCATTCCAGATACGTTCGAATAGGGAGGTCAGTGCTTTACACAGGTCCTCACCTCCATCCTTAAATTGCACAGGCATGAGGCAATCCGAGACAGCGTCACGAAAACGATTGCGGGCTGTGATCGCATTTCGGACCTCGGCCTCCGATGGATGCTCTAAACTAACCATCCATGGCTCGTCCTGCATCACCTGAGTAGGAAGAGGTCCGGGAACAGGGGGCCAGCTGAACTGATCTTGAAAGTGTTCCGCCTAACGCACCCGCGCTGTTTCACTGACGCCTGGTTTTCTGGGACCAGTGGTGCGGATTAGATGGAAGAGCTTACGGTAATTGCCTACTGCTCCTGCCTCCTCCATTTCTTGAGCCCGACTTGTCCACCGGGCTTCCTTGTCAGCATGTGGGCTCTGCTTTAGTTCACGCCTGATAGCCCATCTAATAATAATATTAATTATGTCAGCTGTACGCCGTAACGGTGCTTCGCTGCCGCGCCACCACCACCAGCCGCGCGCGGGTTGTGTATACCGCAATGACTCCCACCCCTACGCGAATTCGAACCGGTGACGTTATGGTTGCAAACCAAACGTGCAGACTACTTGGTCACCGGCCGAGTTCAGAGCCAGTCGGGAGGTGTCTTCTAGATTCCAACAGGTTCACCGACCTCTCGGATATCCAGTGACTGGTGCGGTGACGATGTATAGTGCCACAAGCAGATGCTTCTGCGTCGTGTATGTCGGCCGAGATGCTATTCCACTGAAGCTCAGTGTCATTACGACAACACAGCGAAAGTTCGGTACACAGTGCGTCTTGATAGGCTTGCCTGACCGAGGGCTGAGACAATTTCTCAGTTGCCAATTTGAGGAGACGCTTGGTGCGCCTCCCGGTAAGGTTCATGGAGAAACGACAGCGTACCAAGGCATGATCAGAGTCGACACAGGTACTCCAGTACGAGCGGCAATCCAGCATGGAACCACGCCATCTGCAACTTATGGCTATGTGGTCAATTTGGGTCCCTCGCTGGCCAGCTACAGGAGGATGACAAGTGGCACTTCGGCGCCCACTGTCTAAAAGCAGTGCTACTAAGAAACAACTGGTGCTCCGCACACAGTTACAACAGACGCTCACCGTTGTCAGTCCGGAGTTAAGCCCATAATTACCACCCAGCTGAGCTTCTGAAAAGCTCAGACGCCCTACTTGTGCGTTCATATCCCCTGCAAGTATTATAATATCTGAACTAGTAGCACTGCGTAGTAGGGCGTTCAGTTCGTGATAGAATGTGTCCTTGACAGCATTAGAACTGCAGTCGGTGGGAGCATAAGCGGAAATCGCAAACAAACAGCGTGCTGTAGTACTTCGTGAATCAACCTTAGCTGATGTCGTCAAACGGACTGCACATAAACGGCTGTTCACCGGAATCCAATCAACCAACGATGGCTCAGGCTTGGAGCTTAGAATGACACCTACACCAGGTTGACCGGTGAGTGCTGCATCGGCGTCTCCGGATGCGTGCAACCAATAACGAGAGGATAAGCCGGGTGCAGTTAATTCAATAATCCCGTTAGGGTCATTGATCTTAGTTTCGGACACACAACACACTTCAATACCCAGTGTGTCCAAGGTGCGTGCGAGTGCAGCATGTTGACCTGTTTGTCTTGGAGTGCGAACGTTAAATGCCGCTATGGAAACGGGATAGCGTGGCCTTATAAGGGACTTTTGCCGATAGGCGTCCGATAGGTGCTGTGGGATGGTGGCTGCAGATGGTTATTCTCCAGTGGCACTTCGGTTGCTGTCAATTAAGCTGGGAATTATAGAAGGAAAGTTAGTAATGGGGGTCGGGATGGGTGCAAGAGAAACAGGTGGAAAAGAAAGAAGGGAGGCGCCAACAGTAGCATGTTTTCGCTTATCCGCCCTGCTGTATGCAGCAGATAAGGCGACCCTTGATAATCTGCGTGACGGCCGATGCAGGATGAAGTTTATGTTTGAAGAAAATGTCATGGTTGTATGTGGGCTGAGATGCTGCCAGGGCGCCCAGACCTAGACAGGAGGACGATTAGGGTCCTCATTCAAAGCCTTTGGCTCAAAAGCCTGTCTGCAAGGTAGCATGGAGGTGGCAATGCTTTAGTTTTACAGAAATGGACGCCATCCCATTGCAAACCCCCAATCTGGAGGACCAGGAGACTGAGTTTGACCTCTCACCATTGACCAACCTGGTAGGAGTAGCTCTCAAGATGTTCGGAGGCATCACCCAGTATAGCTCAATGGGTCAATGAGGTACGCAAACCGTCGCACCACGTTAAGGTCCAGTCTCGTTGCGACGGAACACGTGATCACGGAATGTACAATGGGATTGTCATAGGAGTATCACATATGTTGATACATTAATGTGTTTATGTGTGCGTGTAGGCGTGTGTAACTGTGTTGTTTGGCTTTGTAAAGGTTTCACTGCTTTTACTTGTGTCTGAACGTGTCGCCAGTGCTAAGGGGATGTTTGACGTCCGTGAATTTACAATGATTGTACGCATGAGCATTAGGTTGCTGGTATACAGTGCTTCTCCATTATGAAGCAAAGGGCAGTGGCT